TAATTTTTCCTTCACATGTCATAACCTTTGTCATACACAAAGATCTCAAGTATTATCTGCCTCTTTTTATGGAAATTTTGAATGGTATATATCTTGCTCAAAGCATTTGGTGCATGTTGCAGGTTTCACTCATTGCACCACACACAGTTCAGGACCAATTACTCTCTGTTCATGCCAATATATGATTACATTTACGGTACCACAGACAAGTCCTCTGATACATTGTATGAAAAATCCCTCAAAAGACAAGAAGAGTTACCTGATGTTGTCCATCTAACGCATCTAACCACACCAGAGTCCATCTACCATCTGCGCCTTGGATTTGCCTCCTTAGCCTCTAAACCACATACATCAAAGTGGTACCTCTGGTTGATGTGGCCTGTCACTCTGTGGTCCATGATGTTGACCTGGATTTATGGTTATACTTTTGTCGTGGAACGGAACCGTTTTGATAAACTGAGGTTACAAACTTGGGCCATACCAAAGTATCAGATACAAGTAAGAATAATTTTTCTTAATCCCCATCATCATATTGTAGGCATAATTTTCAGTATTACTAATTTCCTGCTGGTAATTTTCTTGTTGTAGTACCGGTTGCATTTGCAAAATGAATCTATCAATAGCTTGATTGAGGAAGCCATAATAGAGGCAGAGGATAAAGGGGCAAAAGTGTTAAGTCTAGGCCTCCTGAATCAGGCAAGTATTAGAAATTTGTTTCTCTGCACATGCTACTGAGGGGATAAAGATTTATCTGATAGGAATTGAACATATAATGTTGAATTTTGCAGGGTGAAGAGCTTAACAAGTATGGGGGGCTCTATATACACAGGCACCCTCAGCTTAAAGTGAAGTTGGTAGATGGAAGCAGCTTAGCAGTTGCAGTTGTGTTGAATAGCATACCAAACGGAACAACAGAAGTCCTCCTCAGGGGCAACCTCAACAAGGTTGCTTATGCCATCACCTTTGCTTTATGCCAAAAGGGCATCCAGGTAGCTGTACTGCATGGACATGAATATAAGAAGCTTAACAAATCATTTGGCAGCAACTCTCAGAACAATTTGGTCCTCTCAAGAAGTTACTCCCATAAGGCAAACCAATTTTCTCTCTTCTTCTTCAGTCAATTCAGTATTGAACTTGAAATTTTATAGCAGGTGAAGTTATGTTCTATCAGCAAATCTGAAACGTTTGGATCAACTTTTGTAGGTATGGTTGGTAGGAGATGAATTGACAGAAGAAGAACAATCAAAGGCACAAAAAGAAACATTATTTATGCCCTTCTCCCAATTCCCACCGAAGAAATTGCGCAAAGATTGCTTTTATCACACCACTCCAGCAATGGGGACTCCCAAATCACTTGAAAATGTGGATTCTTGTGAGGTCAGTGGCAAAAGATGCCCCATTTCACACGTTACAGTTCCTTATTAGACACTCATTTAACTTCGAGAGATCAGTAATTAGTACCATTATCTTGTTGCTGAAACTAATTTTGCAATTTAAACATGTCAGAACTGGCTGCCAAGGAGAGTGATGAGTGCATGGCGAATAGCTGGGATAGTGCATGTCTTGGAAGGATGGGAGGAGCATGAATGCGGTTACACCATGTCTAGTGTGGACAAAGTTTGGGAAGCAAGTCTCAAGCATGGATTTCAACCCCTGAAGTTCCCAACTCAAGCAAAGTTTCTAGTTTGACTTGCAAATTGAAATTCAGCTGCTTATTTACCATCCTAGCGTATGAATTTTCTGTTGAAAATTTAAACTATTCTCTTAGACTGCTTATTTGTAGTTTTTTCTTTTTCTTTTTACCTTGGTTGTGTAATGAAAGACAACTATCTCTTATCTTTTATTTCATCCCACCTGTATGTCATGTGATTTGAATTCAGGATCTTTTATTTCCAATGAAAAAAAGATAATCATTGAATTATTTAGTTTGTTGGCACTTATTTATAGTATTGCTAATTAATATTGTACTATGGTTTGTATGATACAATATAACATCTACCCTCCCTAGGAAATAATTCTTGTTTGTTTGATTTCTTCTTGCGATCCAGTTAAAACAATCCACTTTCCAATTTCATTACCAGTTGGGTAGTTGGACAGATAGGAATATCAATTATTCATACTAAATGTTTTTTAACAATGAAATCCGACAACCTTAGGTGAGAATAATTAGAGGACTCTTTTTGCTCAACAACAC